ATATCTCCATAATGGAAACTATGTAACTTTCCCTGGATGGAGTACTATAAAACCATAAAAAAGGAATATTGGTATAAAAGAATCTAAGGTGTAATGTTAAGTTAAAAAGGCTACACAGAGGACAGTGTATATAGTATATTGCATTTTACACAGGCCACACACACACAAACACACACACAGTTACAAAAAGACAATGGTGATATGGCACCTCTTATATTATCCTGGATAGAGCTGGAACCCATTCTACTAAGTGAAGTATCCCAAGAATGGATAAATAAGCATCACATTGTACTCACCATCAAATTGGTTTTAACTGATCAACACCTAAGTGCACATCTAGGAATAACATTCATGGGTGTTGGACAGATGGGGGGGGAGGCGGGGATGGGTATACTCACACATAATGAGTGCACATCCCCCCGATGTGCACTGTCTGGGGGACGGGCATGCTTGAAGCTCTGACTCAGGTGGGGCAAGGGCAATACACATAACCTAAACCTTTGTACCCCCATATATGCTGAAATAAAAAAAAAGAAAGAAACATACCCAGGCACACAGGACAGGTAAATCAGAAACTAAATTTTTTTAAGAGATAGAGTCATCCTGTGTTGCCTTGGCTGATTATTCAGAAGTCCAGTCATTGCACACTACAGCTTCGAACTCCTGGCCTTAAGCTCTCCCACCTTAGCTTCTCAAGTAGCTGGGACTACAAGTGCATACCACCTTGCCTGACCCAAAAGCTAAAATTTTTTAATGTATCTATTGTGAAATATGGAAAGAGAGTAACATTTTCCTGAATATGTTTTGGTTTAAAGTTTTAAATTTAGAACTATGACTTGCTTTAAATTTTTAACTGTCAAATCATGAAAATGTATATTCAAGAATAAAATTAAATATAAAAATAATTCCTAAAATTGAAAGGAACTAAAAAAATGAAACATATATCTAACTGGTAACATAACCACACATAGAAAAGCATTATTTCAAGTAATTTTAGAACATAATAATTGTACAAACTTAGTGGATATATTGTAAGGACAAAAGAAAACTGCAAGAAAATCTCAAACTTTATTTGTCAATTTTATTATTGGTGGTGATGCTAATGTTATTAGCTTAAAATTATTTAGTATGTATGATAACAAAAATAACTATGTTTGTGTTGTTAGAAACAAGATGTTCAGTATAAATATAAAATCAAAAAAGTTAAGTAAATAATTGGAAATTGAATTGCAAGCATCTATATAGATTTATGACTTTTTAGATTTTTTATTTAGAAGCAATTTAAAAATTACAGAAAATCTGCAAAATAATATGAAGAATATCATTTTGCCATTTTTCTAGATCTTTCTATTATTAACATTTTGCCTCATTTACTTTATCATTTGCTCTATTTATCTACACACACACACACAATTTTTTTTCTGAAACTGTTGACAGTAAGTTGCATAAATCATCGTTAAATGTGTCTAAGAGTAAGAATATTCTCAACTTCAATAAACTTAACATTGATTCAATAAATCTTTCTAATCTGCTATCCATATTTCAAATGTGTCAATTGACCAATTAATACCCTCTATATAGCAGTTTTGTTTTGTTTTTATTGTTGTTGTTGTTGTTTTACCTCCAGTTTAGAATCCAGTCTAGATCAGGAATTACATTTAGTCATTAAGTCTCTTTGGTCTCCTTTAGTCTGGAACATTTCCTCAGTCTTTCTTTGTCTTATATAGCATTGATCTTTTTTTTAAAAAAAGAACTTTTAAAATAAACTATTTCTCATTTTGAGTTTGTCTGATATTTCCTTGCCATTAGATTGAGGCTATGCTTCCTAGCTACAATATTATGTAAGCGACACTGTGTCCTTCCCAGGGTGATATCAATTTTGATCATCTGCTCAGGGTGTGTCTGATTTATCTACTGTATCATCATCATCATCACCATCTCCTGATTAAAACAACAACAATATATATCCTAGGTCTGCCCACATAAAGGATCTAGGACCTATCCCCTAATGATCCAGGGGCAAAATCACCACTACTGCCCCAAATCAGGTCTCTGAATGCTATCCGCCAGTCCCAGGGATTCTTGGAGTAATGGCTGTCCCCAGGTCAAGAGCAGGGAATTTACAAGGTGAGCTTGGAGCATCTCATTGTGCCACAAAGTACAATGGGGAAGTTTTCAAAATCTGAACCATCTCAAGAGGACTCTAGAGCCAGCCTGAAGGGGATCCCATTGGCCAAAGATGGGACAATCTTAGTATCAAAAAGAAAATAATCATAATTGATTGACTGATAGGCATTGGCTACATGAATATCCATGAGTCCATAATAATACTCTCCATGCTATTCATAGGAGAAGACATATTAAGCTTTTTTCACTTCTAAGTGTTTTAGTGTTCATTGTCTAAGCAGTTGAGCAAGTTTCACTTCTTATGGCAACTCAACTTTTTCCAGATCCAGCTCAGAAGCTGCTTGCCTTGAGAAGACTTCTCTAAAGCCTCTATGTAATTCATAGATTCTTTATATTCCAGTGACAGTCATCATACAGGCCTCTTTAAATGCATCTGTCAATACTCTACTGAAATTGCTTAACTGCATTTTTCCCTCCAGACTATTAGTTTATACATACAGGACCTGTCTGGGTTTTATTTATTGTGTTATTCCTAATGCCTACCATATATTAAATGTAATTTTATATACAGCATTATATAATATTATTATGTGTTGTGAATAAACAGATCAATTTCAATAATACTCTCTGTTTTTTTCTTGGTCACGCAATACAGATTTGTCTATATTTTATAAAATGGTTGAGTGCTGTTAAGTAGAGGGCCATTTTAGCTAACATGACAAAATTTCATCACAATGTTTTTTAGTGTTTTTTTCCCAATTTGTCCACCTGTCAATCATAGCTTTAGCACTGAGTAGATTAGAAATAAGGTCCACAACATTTGCTTGATTCCTAGGCTTAGACAATAATTTCTGATAGTATTTGATTTATCCTAGTCTATTTCCTCTCCCTTTCTGTTCATATACAAAAACCTACCGTTAATGTAGGGCAGAGAGTATTAAAGTCAAATTATTGATTTAAAAAAAAAAAACTTGTAATTGGTGATTTGATTTAGTTGTAATATTTTTAAAATAGAAGTCTGAAATAATTTTTTTTAAAATGTGATCCAACGTCTGAAACACACCAGTGGCAACCAAGCCACTATGTGGTGTGTTCACCAATAAGTTATCTGTATCAAACTTTTCTCATGTGGGCTCTCGCTATGTGGAGCAAACCATCTGTCAAGGGCACGTATAAACACACTCAAGTGCGGGAAATCTCTCTCACACGGTGCATGGATTCCCATTGAACCCAGGGGCGAGCGAGTGCCGATAGGTGTGGCCACGGCGGTGGATTTATACCAGTGTGTGCTTGGGGGAATCTCGCCGGCTCCCGCGGTGGAGGGGGTGGGACCGGGACTGCAGCGTTAGCTGCGGGACTTAAAAAAGATGTGTGTGGCAGGGCAGCAGCTCGCTTAGTGCAGCGCTGCCAGAGGGAGCTGGAGCTGGCCGCGGTGCTGAACACGTTTCTGCGGCTTCCACGAGGTTGGCGGGCGGGAAATGGATGGATCGGTAGGGCTGTGAGTTCGCAGGCAACCGGCAGTATCAAGTCTTGGGGTGTCGATTCCTGGCTGTGGGCAGGAGATGCACAGGCCGCGTCCGGGGGAGTCACCTCGCTATTGTAGGCGCGGCCTCTGACCGGTCACTGCAGCTCCTACTCAACAGCAACACGTCCCGTATTTATTCTTTGAGTGCCTATTGAGTCCCCCACACTTGGCGTCCACCCCCAAGTAGTCCACACAACACTCTCTGAATTCAAAGAAAAAGAACTAAAGCTCCGAAGGTTGAAAATCTTGCCCAGGGAACACAGCTACGAAATGGCTGGTCTTTCTCAATCATGCCTCAAAAGATGTTTACTGCATACCTTCCAGGAGCCAGCGCCACAGCCCCTGCTCCTCGGCTTGTCAGATCCATGCACCTCCGACCCATGCCCCTTTCCCTTCTCCATCCCCCCACCCGAATCCCAGAAGTTTGCATCAGGAAAAAGTAATCTCAGGCGGCATAACCTCTATCACCCATAAATTGGGGGCGTGGACTAAGGACTGGAAGTCGGTGGAGGGTTTATTCACACCTCTTGCGCCTATGCACTCAGAAGTCCAACCCGGGTGGGAGATCCAACTCTGAGTCCCCAGTTCTCTGTGTAGCCTCGGTCTAGTGGTCACGTCTCCGAACCTCCTTCTCCGCGTTAGTATGACAAAGGGTTGGTTTAGGGATGCTAGCGGCTCTTCCCTGGTGCGCACCGGTCTCCTCTTAGGTCCAATACAAACAGAAGGCCTTTTCCCCCCTTCCTAACCAATCCCTTTCCCAAGTAGAGATAGGCACGCTCGCATTTTCTCCCCACCAGGTCCACAGCCAGCTCTACCCCTTGTTGGAGAAAGAATTGAGGTCCCAGCGGCTGACGTCCGTCCTCCCCGCTGCTGCCACTGTCCCCACCCCCAACCCCCGGTGTGACCTGTCCTTCCGGGCCACATTCGCCCAAGGCTCGAAAGAGAAGAGAGCTCCTCACACTCCCGCTGGGTAGCGCCTGGTCTCTGGGGGCCCAGCGCTGGGACGCTTTCGGAAGTGCGAGATGGAGCTGAACCGAGAACCAGAGCTGGAGGCGGGGCTGACCGGACAGCTCCGGTGACAGGTAGTTGTGTGGGCGCCCGCGGGAGGCTGGGTTGGGAGATAGGGACTTTGGGGAAAAGGGGTGAGGAAAGGGGAGGTGCCAGAAAAAGCTGTGGGTCATTCTGTCACTCTCTTTACCCAGTCTCTCTCCCTCTCGCTCCTCCCCATCGCACCTCACTTCCCTCTCTCTCTTCTCCAAGCATCCTTTCTGTACTCCCGCGCCGCTTCTCCCTCGCACTTCCCTGCGCCCAAGGGGACCTCTTCGGGGACCAGCTCGATCTGGCCTCCCAGCGCAGCCGCGTCGCAGAGCCAGTTCAGCTGAGCCGGCAGCATGTGGAACGCGACGCCGAGCGAGGAGTCCGAGTCCAACTTCACGCTGGCGGACCTGGGCTGGGACAGTCCCCCGGGCAACGACTCGCTGGCCGACGACCTGCTGCGACTCTTCCCCGCGCCGCTGCTGGCGGGCATCACAGCTACCTGCGTGGCGCTCTTCGTGGTGGGCATCGCCGGCAACCTGCTCACCATGCTGGTGGTGTCGCGCTTCCGCGAGCTGCGCACTACCACCAATCTCTACCTGTCCAGCATGGCCTTCTCTGACCTGCTCATCTTCCTCTGCATGCCCCTCGACCTCGTGCGCCTCTGGCAGTACCGGCCCTGGAACTTCGGCGACCTGCTCTGCAAACTCTTCCAGTTCGTCAGCGAGAGCTGCACCTACGCCACGGTGCTCACCATCACGGCGCTGAGCGTCGAGCGCTACTTCGCCATCTGCTTCCCGCTGCGGGCCAAGGTCGTGGTCACCAAGGGCCGGGTGAAGCTGGTCATCCTAGTCATCTGGGCCTTGGCCTTCTGCAGCGCCGGGCCCATCTTCGTGCTAGTCGGGGTGGAGCACGAGAACGGCACTGACCCTCGGGACACCAATGAGTGCCGCGCCACCGAGTTCGCGGTGCGCTCCGGACTGCTCACGGTCATGGTGTGGGTGTCCAGCGTCTTCTTCTTTCTGCCTGTCTTCTGCCTCACGGTCCTCTACAGTCTCATCGGCAGGAAGCTGTGGCGGAGGAGGCGCGGGGACGCGGCGGTGGGCGCCTCGCTCAGAGACAAGAACCACAAGCAAACCGTGAAAATGCTGGGTAGGTCGCGCGTGCCCTCGGGCTTTCTCTCCCGGGTCCCTCCTCTCCCCATGCCTTCCCCCTTCTCCCCCGGTCTCCATCTCTCTCTCTCTCCTGTTTCTCTCAGTCTCTGTCTTTCTGCATGTCTCTCAATTGTTCTCTTTTCCTCTCCACTCCCCCCTCCTTACTTTCCCACTATCCAGACTCTCTCTTTTGATCTCTATCTGTCTCTGTCTTTCTGTCTCTCCGCTCTCTTTCATGGAGAAATGCCTCCACCTTTTTATTTGCCTAAAATGAATTTTAGATCAGCCTAGAAACTTTGCTTCAAAGGATATTTTATAAAAGTCTATTTTGGTCTTTGAGGGTTAAAATTGAGGTTAAGCTTCCTGCCTCAAATAGAATTTGTGGGTATCTAAGTTACATTAAGAAAAGCAGGCATTGGATCTAGAAAATATTCAGTGGCAAATTTAACCAAAGATATGATCAATGTGGAGAATTCTGTTAGAGCTGATTCGCTTTCAATATTGTGATTTGTTCTCAGATAATTTCATCAATTCTGTTTACCCTGCTGCTGTTTATACTAAGCTTTGTAAGAAAGGGACAAATCAGTGGGGTCTCTTTATTTGTTTTCATAATTACCCATAGGGTAGACTAAGATAAGGTAGGATAAACAAGGCTGCAACAAGAGAAAAGGAAACTTTGTGGAATCTGACAGAGACTTATTACCCCTCTTCCCAAATGGCCTTGCAGGTATATTTGGGTGCAATGTCACAACTAAAGTGTGGTGAATATTTATTGCATGAATTCAACTTCTTTAAGTGTATGTTTGGTACAAGTGAAGTAATACAAAATATGTTCACATCCAAGCAAAATATTAATTGTACACACTTTTTCAGAACCAGAGCCTGTATATTTCATTGTTTGGATATTATGGTCAACATTTCATACTCCTTGGCATATTTAATGCTTCTTAGAAGCCATTCCAGGATGATTTCATATTTGCAATTTTACAATTCCTGGATCCTGCATATTAAAGTGATATAGTTTATTCAAAGAATGTCAAAGATTTTATTTTCTAGACTGTGATTCTCATATGACTCATACATTGTAAACCTACAAATGTCCTGCAGGGGACTCTAGGCTCTCATCTATGAGACTCACACTGCTACCATGGCAGTCAAATTGCTACTATGCAACTTAGTTTTAAGGGTAAGTGGAATAATTTCCTCTAATTTTATTTTTTAAGCTATTAATTTTCTCACTGGTGTCTCAACACCAATGTTAATTTTCTTCTCCTTTGACAATTTGAAGGCGATCACTAAAGTAGTTTAGGGACTAAAATACTATATCTTGTTATTTTTCCCTTGATTTCTGAATTTTAAAAGGTTAGTCTAAAAATTTACAAGTCTTGAAAAATTATCTTACATGGGCAAAATGAAGACTTGAGTGGATGATAATTAACGTTAGTTGGTTTAATGGCCTTTTATGCCTCACTTACATCTAGTAGGTAGCATAGAATCATCCATCTTAGTGGTTCTTAGTCCTGACTGCACATTCAGTCCTCTGTGAAACTTAAAAAAGAAAAGAAAAGAAAAAGCAAGTCTCCTGGTCTCCTTCCTAAACATTTTAATTTAGTGAATCCATATTATATCCAAGGAATCTGCATTGCTTAAAAAAAAAGTGCCCCAGGAAACTGATACACAGTTATGGTTGAATAGAACCACTTTACCTCATATGTTTGTGTTGTGTTTAACACTTATAAGGAGGTAGACTATTGTGAATAAATGTCAACTCAATCACAAAATCACTCAAACAGTTGTTAAATAAAAATGACTGGGAAGCTCATTCAAAAATTGTTGAACTTTTGGTGCAGACAGATTCAATCTTTGTTATAATAAAATGTAGGAATGGGTAAAAGCAGAACACAGTGTTTTTCTTAAGGCAATGGTCATAATACATAATCAAAACAAACTAAGTCTTAAAAATAGAATGTGGTTTGCTATGACATTTCTTGAACTGACGATCTCTCTCCCATTGTCCTTTTAGCTGTAGTGGTGTTTGCCTTCATCCTCTGCTGGCTGCCCTTCCACGTAGGGCGCTATTTATTTTCCAAATCTTTTGAGCCTGGCTCCCTGGAGATTGCTCAGATCAGTCAGTACTGCAACCTCGTGTCCTTTGTCCTCTTCTACCTCAGCGCTGCCATCAACCCCATTCTGTACAACATCATGTCTAAGAAGTACCGGGTGGCGGTGTTCAAACTTCTGGGATTCGAACCCTTCTCCCAGAGAAAGCTCTCCACTCTGAAGGATGAAAGTTCTCGGGCCTGGACAGAATCTAGTATTAATACATGACTTAGCACATTGCTGAGCGCAGTCACCGCTTATTGTTCAAAACCGGAAGCCATAGCACAGCAGAACTTCGGAGGAAGTTGAAGGTTAATTTTGGAATTAGGGACCCATAGATCTGGAAACAATTGAGAGGAAAGAAAAGACATAATTTGTAGGGTGTGAGCAGTTTGATTTGATTGCACACTCATCAGTGCTCTCATAAAGTATTTCTGCATATTCACTGCCTATGATTTTGCATTCTACCGCTGGTGCTGGTGAGAGCTTTGCACATCAGAGAAAGGAAGAAGTGCAGAGTGGGCAATTAGGGCACTTCTTGGTGGGTAAATCTGATTTAGATTTGCTTTGCTTTTTCATAATGGTTGAAATTATTTGGTTAAAAGAATGACATTAAAATAAAAATTTTAAAACCTGATTTTAAAAACCAACAATTTTCATAAAGCTTTAGAATAGTATTGTCCAAGGGAAATATAATGTAAGGCAGGTAAGTAATCAATATAAAAACTATTAATGAGAAATTTACTGTCCTTTTTTCACACCAATCTTTGAAATCTGGCATATCTTTCACATTTACAGAACTCCTTGATTTGTATACTAAGATTTCATCAGTAATACTTGATACACTTAGATTTCATAAAATTTACAGATGAAAAAGTATATTCAACAACCTAAGTTGTCTAAGCTTTCCAATAACTGAAACAACTATAAGTTTTAAACTCTAAATTAATTAAAATTAAACATTCAGTTCTTCAGTGTTCAGTAGCCACATGTAGCTTAACACATTAAATAATGCAGCTTTTGAGTATATTCAAAATTATCATTCACCTTAAATAAAATGTTTAAAAATAAATATCTTTGGCCAGGCTCAGTGGCTCACGCTTGTAATCCTAGTACTCTGGGAGGCCAAGGTGGGAGGATAGCTTGAGGTAAGGAGTTCGAAACCAGCCTGAGCAAGAGCAAGACCCCATCTCTACTAAAAATAGAAACAAATTAATTGGCCAACTAAAAATATACAGAAAAAATTAGCTGAATTAGCTGGGCATGGTGGCACATGCCTGTAGTCTCAGCTACTCAGGAGGCTGAGGCAGAAGGATTGCTTGAGCCCAGGAGTTTGAGGTTGCTGTGATCTAGGCTGACACCACGGCACTCTAGCCCAGGCAACAGAGTGAGACTCTGTCTCAAAAAATAAATAAATGAATATCCTTTCCCCCAAATGTTTTTACAGTGAAATTAGCATAGCAGAATTTTAGAGTCATAAATCCTAAATATCACACCCAAATGTCCAAATTTTCATGCTTGGAAGAGAATGGCTATGAAATGTATAAGATACATTTTTAAATTAAATTGAATTATATGTGTTAATATTCAGGAAATGAAACTTTATAAAAATTATAGGTAATCATAAACTGCCTTATTTGGCTTAACACAAATACTTAAGCCAATCATAAGACTTTGATTTGTAAATAAAGGAATAATTTATAACACTCTGGCAAGCTTACAGGAAACTGAATGGACGTAGACATTTTTCAAATAGTGAAAGCAGTCACATGTGAAAAACAGAATCCCCTAAATGCTGCTGCATATTGATATTTCAGCATGATAATCTTTTCTTTTGATGGGGGAAAAACAATTTTGGCAACTCTTTGCATATTAATATATTATTTCAAAAATGATTTTGTCATAATCCTGTGCAATAATAAGTCATATAAGCATGAAGTTATCGGTTCTCAACCATGGAATTGATTGAGCCATTTGGGAAAATTACTGCCATAATTGTTTTCCCCCATTAAAAGAAAAGATTATCATGCTGAAATAATTGATTGACTATTTTGGAAACATCAAAAGACATAATTAGAATTGTTTCTCTAGAAAATTAATTCTGAAGTTCATTTACACACTGAAACTACACCACCAATTTGGCCCTAAACGCAGAACTTTAACAAGTTGTTTATTCAGTTCATTCTTAGGAGTGTATCAATATTTTTAAAAGGCACACTGACTCATTTACATTCATGGGAAATTAATTAGAGCATTTGGCATTATTATCTTAGATAATGCCCAGTAAATTCTAAAGAGGTAATTCAGTTTCCTGAAGCCTTAGAGTTTTTGTCTACAGGTACATGCTACTTGAGAGGAAAGAAAGAAAAAAGGCTTGACCTTCATTACACAGTTGATTGTTTTGAAGAAAAACAAACCCAATCAGTTTGTTAATCAGTTGCTTAAGCTGTTCAATGGTCCCCCTTCTCTTATGGGTTCACGTCTAGTCTTGGCCTAACTCACTTCCAGGGAATAGTTTACCTAGCAAGGACCCCTACTGCCCTTGATTGGTATTAATCTGGGAATTCAGAGAATATGTTTAGAGAAAGGGAGCTTAAATTTGTCCTCCTGTACCATTGCCTTTTATTGTTTGTAACTTCTTTATGTTATCATACTCCATAAATCATTTAAGACTCAGGGAAGAGGAACTTAACATTAGCAAAATTGCTTCTAAAAGTCCATAATTCCACAAGCATTTATTATGTACCTGGTATGCTCTAAATTCTATCAATTACTAAACCAAGGATTTTATCCTTAACGATCTTACAATCACTTGCGTGTTATGTTGCAGTAAGTAACTGATAAATATCTTTAAATTGTGAAGTAAACATCTCTGACACTGGATCAAATTGCTCCTCAGCATCTCAAGGAGCTGCCATCCACTGTGTTGTTGGGTATTTGGCTCAAAATCAATTTGAAATGAGCTGTTCCTACTAGACCCAGTCAAATTTGTAGAAACAGTTAGTGTATCTGCTAGTGGTAATTACACTCACTGCATTCTTCAAATTTAGGGGAAAGTAAAGGAATCTTTTTGAAATCCAACTGTTTCCCTTTTCCTTGTTATCTAGCAATGAGATTGCTGTCACTGAATCTTACACTATGTCACAAAATCAAGGATGGGATCGTTTTCATTATAATGGAAAATAATTGTTATATAAGCAAGAACTTTTAAATAATTGCTTTAATAATTGCTTTTAAATTGCTTTTAAAACATTCATTGCCATGAGTTATTTAAAATTGGAAGTTTTGTAGTAGTAAGATTTAGAAACACTTCCAGTGCCTGGCCATGCCTTGAAAACCATGTTATAGTCAACTTTTTATTGCAAAGAAGGTTGTTGTCATGGGATTTGACTTGAAATACCAGCATTTCATGCTAATGCTTTTATTAAGAACCTGAATTCATTATAACTTATAGTTTTTAGTTCAATGTTGGCAGTTTTAGTTATTTTTCACTATCTTTTATTTATCCACATACTTGAATTTAGTATTAAAAAAAAACTGTGAGGTTTTTTTTGCAAGATTGGTGCCTGAAAACAATCTCTTGTCTTTTAAAAAACAGTTTGTACATCTTTAAAATGCGACATACATATTTACTTGTGTCAAAATTTCTTGTTACAAAGTCTGAGTGAAAAAAATATAACATTCTGCTTTCAAAAACACTGTATATAGTATAATGTCATTAAAGAATAAAGATAATATTAAAATGCCTAATATGTTTAGTAGCTAATGATTCTCCTATGATTTCTTTGCGATTTTAAATTGCAACACTAGCCAGGATATATACAATTGTAATTTAACTAGATGATAGTGATCAATGTTAATTTAGCAAATTGATAACACAAATATTTTTTATCTAGAAAATGAACGGTTAGTTAAAATCAACAGAAAGCAATGCTTTAAGCTCACATCACTTATTTATTCACATTAAATGAATTCAGTCATGTTAATCTTGGCAATGATCTGTTTTAAGCAGGTGAGGGAGGAGACTTGGATGAGGCTGTTTTTGTGTTTTTCCTTTTGAACTCAAACTCTTTCAGGATACTGGAGGCTAGCCATTTTGAGTGACAGAATTATCATCATCTAAAAAAAAAAAAAAGCTGCCTTGTCTATGCCCCTCCCAATTGTCTGGATATTCGCTGGAATTCCATTTAATATTTTATGCTGCGATGCAGTATATACCTTTGCTCAAAGGACTATCAACTGCCCTCACAACTGGCAAGCCAGTAAAGCCCTCAAAAAGCATGCCTCGTAAATGCACAGAAAGTTCCATCAAAATGTTTACTAATGTTCTTTCCAGAAGAACTCCTCTCTCCCCTAGTTACAGAGAAAGCATCGGGGAAAAAATGGTTTGAAAGATTCCCTGTGGTTTTAACATCTCAAATTCAAAACATTTCTCTGGCTCAAATAACAAAAACACTTATATTTTTCAATTTTATCACTCTCGGTTTAAGTATACTAGAAAACACTTGTTTATATAAATGTATCCAAATGGCATAATCCCCTGTTTCACTGACACATGGTGTATTCTAGGTCTGTATAGAATTTAATACTTGGTCGATTTGTGTTGTCATACTTGTTATAATATGTCATAAATGTTACTGATGATATTTTGATTTGCAATTCTTTTTCTGTAAGGTTTTTGTGAATGTTAAAGAAGAGTTTACTATAGCGCTCATGTAGCTGACTTATGAAATTAAACATAATTTTCCTTTTTGTGGGTGTCCTTACCAAACAATTTTTAATAATTGCTTAATAAATATCTTTTTAAAGCATGTGGCTGTCTTCTTCTGCTTACAGTTAAAAACCTTGATGTCTGGGATATATTATCTCGACCCTTGTCCTAGATTTTGTTTTATTTTTTCCTTTTAATTTCTGAAACATGTTATTTTGCAACCATGAGGTGGTGTTTGTTATGGTGAATTTTATTTCTCCAAGGTCTCCAATATTTAATTTAATAATGAGTTAACCAATTCCTGTAAAAATTAAGAGGAGAAGGGGACCCTGTGATGGACTGTGATCCTATGCTCTTGCCACCTCCCTATCCCTTCCAGCCTGTCCCTCCAGAATCAAGATGCCTTCTTTGGTGTTACAACAATGTGTGACCCAAAGACGATGGGCTCTTTAGAGTCAGGGGAAGGATTTCTATTCATTTTGCACTCAGCAGCCACTCACTGAATGTTGGATGGACAAATGAAGGCTTAAAGACCCAGGCATTAGC